CCATTCCTCCCTCCCCCTCGTCCCATCCCAAATCCTTATCCTGGCCCTTTCCAAGTGCTATACAGTCGTCCTGACTTAGCGCTTTCCCCCCTGATAATTCCTTCTTTCCTTCGATGCTTCTGATATACTAGTACTCGACATTTAAGTTCTCCGACTTAACAAAGCCCTTTCACGAGGAGGGAGCGAGGACGTCGTAATACTTGGAGTGACTCTGTGCACATGCGGTTCAGGCTTGGGTACAAATATTACTAGGAATATGGAATAGGTGTTCATGATAATGACACCAAGTGTATGGTGTCAGTAAGTATGTGGTATGTTAAGGTCTCACACTCTCACACATTATGTTCTTGATTGCCCGTTGGTTAATGTATATAGAAACACTGAGATAAGGACACTGTTCCTGAACAGTGAGCCTGGATCCCGCCAAACACACACCGAAACTACGACGTTGCTACAACGTTCGAACAAGTTTTAACACCTCCTAACCAGTTATAACAACCAATATATCAAGTTCTAACAACGTTCTAATACGTCATAAACACGTTAAGCCAAGATGTAACAACTTTATTACAAGTTGTAACAAGCGGAAAATAGAGACAGTTTCGGTTTGTGTTTCCAGGGATGTGTCACAACGGAAAGGTTGATGATATTCTGGATAGATATAAGAATTTTGTACCAAGCCTGTAATCTTTTGTTGAATTATCTGCATGTCTCTTGCAAATTTCTCTCTGAAATATATATATGTTTATCTCTTAGAATGTTTGGCAATATGTTTATTGTTTGTGATATGTGTCTATATATGTATGAACACGTTGTAACGAACGGGGGTGAGGATAGCTTGAACTACCTCATCCCTTTGTGTGTATTTTACCTCAATAAACTTATTTCAATTTCAATTTCAATTTCAAGACCTTTCATGGATGGGGTTGGGAAGATGTGCCAAAGTAGATTAGTCTAGAGTAGATACTAGCTGCTAGAGTATAAACTAACCTAGAGTATAAGCTAACCTAGAGTAGCTTAGGCTATTTCTACCCTCTTCACTCTATACTTTACCTTCTTAAATGTCTGGCTATGTATGTAATGTAAATGTAAATTGTATTTACATTTCCTAAATTGTAAATACGTTTGTATTTGATGTCAATATGTAAGTAAATGTATTTACCTTCTTAAATGTCTGACTGTCAGTCCAAAATAAGGGAAGGGAATTATCAAGGAGAAAGCGCCAAGCCACTAGGCCTAAATAGCACTAGGAAGGGGTCAGGATAAGGATTTGGGATGGGACAGGAGGGAAAGGAATGGTGCCCAACCACCTGGACGGTCGGGGGGATTGAACGCCGGCCTGCACGAAGCGAGGCCGTCGCTCTGCCGTCCACTCCAAGTGGGTGTCCGAAATAAGAAATCCAACACTAGGAACTAGCCAGGTGGGCGGCTGATGGAGGAATGGTTATAGGAGGGTCGGGGTTAGCCCCCATGCCCTCCTTCACAGTCCTAATGGTTAGGGGGGGATAGATGCCGGGGGGGGGAGGGGGAAGATGTGAAAAAATGCATGTTTTAATGACAGTTTTGCATGCTGGTTGTTCCCAGCACTTAAATGCCATAATATCTCAGGGTCAACATCATCTAGTCAGGTTTGAGGGAGAGAGAAAGAGAGAGAGAGAGAGAGAGAGAGAGAGAGAGAGAGAGAGAGAGAGAGAGAGAGAGAGAGAGAGAGAGAGAGAGAGAGAGAGAGAGAGAGAGAGAGAGAGAGAGAGAGAGAGAGAGATATCCCAACAGTATTAAGGGCAAAAAAATAATAACAGGAGACATAACCTCAACATACAAGATACTAAATGGTATCGACAAAGTGGGCAAAAAATAATTTAGAAAGCGATAGAAAACAATCTTCATACCATTTTTTTTTTCACCTTCTCCTCCTCTGCTACCTTTTTCCTTGTTATCACCATTATCTCTTTCTCCTGCTGCTCCTCATCACTGATGTGCCTCTCCTCCGTCATCTTCGCCCGGTAAATAACCAGTAAATCAAGGTCTTGGCGAGGTGCGAATCATTATTTTGACATTAGTGATCTGAACAGGTAAGCGTTTTATTGCTCTCCTGAGTTGAGGTGGACCTCACCCCTCTACTGGTACGGTGATGGTGGTTGTACAGTGTAAGGAGGTAGAAGGGGGGGGGGGAGTAGTGATGGTTGGGGGCGTGAGCTTTGATGGTGGTTATGGGGGATGGTGGTGGTGGTGGTTATGGGGGATGGTGGTGGTGGTGGTGGTGGTGGGGAATGGTGGTCTGATTGTGCAGGGTTTTCAAGTTGAGAGATAATGCTGTATGAAAAGGTTATGGTTAAGGAAGTGTGGGGGGGGGGCTAAGAAAGTAGCTGAGAGAGTCGTTCTCTGGGTTGGTGGGGAGGGGGGGGGGAAAGGATGGTGATGGGGAGGGGGGGGAGGATGGTGGGGGTTAGTGATCATTTTCAAGACAACGGGGATGGTGAGGGTTGAGCTTGGAAAGGGGGGGGACATGATATACGGAGCGCGGTAGAGGTATAATTAGGTCGTTAGGGAAAAAAGATCATTTATCAGAGCGGCTATACGTGTTCCAAGCACAGGTAGTGGGTGGGTGTGTGTGTGTGTTTCCAAGCACAGGTAGTGGGGTAGGTGTTCCAAACGAGGAACTTTTCAAGAAAAAAATGGACAGTTCTTTGAAAGAAGTGCTGGAGCAACCGGGCTGTAGTTAACCTGCGGGCCGCTCCAAGCAACAGCCTGTTGGACCAAGCACTCTCAAGTCAAGCCTAACCCCGGGCTGGGTTTGGGGAGTAGAAGAAATCTCAGAACCTCATCCAGATATAGTCCAGGTACAAGACGTAATATTATATTCAATTCATCTTCACCTGCTCAAAACAAATTGAGTACAGCATCTCAAGACACAGTGCTTGTCGTTAACAAGTATTTTGTCCCAAAATGGTTTACAATCAAGTCAGAGAGTGAGTGTATACCTAACGTTTAGTCCCAAACGTATACAACTAAGTCCAAAATAAAGTAGATACTTGACGTTTTAACCAAAAATATACAATTAAGTTCAAAATAAAGTAGATACTACATGTTTTGTACCTAAAGTATACAGTTAAGTCTAAAATAAATTAGAAACTTAAAAGTTGTGTACCAAAAGTATACAATTAAGTCCGAAGGAAGGAAGGAACTATCAGGAGAAAGCACCCAGCCATTACGACTATATAGCACTGGGAAAGGGTCGGAATAAGATTTTTTGGGATGGGACGGGGGGAAGGAATGGTGCCCAACCACCTGGATGGTCGGGGATCATAAGTCCGAGAGAAAAAGAAATACGTAACATTTTCCGAACGGCTCTAAATAGCTATTCCGAACGTAACTCACTGAACGGCCTACACAGAGCCTCCATAGCGGGGCCGACCCTGGAATGTCACCTGTCGCAGACGAGGAGTCACAATAACGTGGCTGAAAAAATGTTGACCAAACCACACACTAGAAAGTGAAGAGACGACGACGTTTCGGTCCGTCCTGGACCATTCTCAAGTCGACTGTCCACAATGTCACCTGTCCTCACGCTTAAAGCACTCCAGTTTTGACACCGTCGGCCATTGCGTTACGAATTGTAGTGCTTTGGTAAGCTTATAAGCACCGTAAATTTGACGCTCCCGGGTTATGCTGAAGTCATTTCATATTTAATTGTTGTAAAATCGGGGGAAAACGGATTAATTAGCACAGTAGTTGTAGCTGCATTTAAGTCTATTCATTCAGGTTGGACACAGGTGGGTATGTGTTCTCAGGTGTGTAAAGGTATATGTGTACACAGATGTACAATAGAATATGTGTACTCAGGTGTGTATGTGTACTCAGATATGCTAGAATTATAGGGAGATTTAAAAAAGTTTAATTTATATTCTTTAAGAGTCTTTAAGAGTCTAGAGTCTAGAAAGACAAAGAGAAAGTTTGACAACTGAAGTATATATTTATGAAATATATGACAAAGGGGGATATAAATAAGCTTAAATATATATAAACACAAAATTTAACAAGAAGCAATAAAAGTCAACTGGAGAAGTATAGATTCAGGAAAGACCTGGGTAAATACTAGTTTGGAAAGAGGGGTTGTTGATTTATGAACCAAATTACCTGGGAGAAACAATAATAGACGCAGGATCATGATAGATCGTTTGATCACAAGCGTAGGTTATATATATATATATATATATATATATATATATATATATATATATATATATATATATATATATATATATATATATATATGTTTCCACAAACTTGTATCCACAAGTTTGGATGGATACAGATAGGACAGCTGCCTCGTATAGGCCTTATGTAGTTTCCATTAATCTTATGTGCTTCTATATGTACACAGTTGTGATGGGGGCATCAGCGTTCTCACACGTAAAGGGGATATGTGGTTCTGTGTTTCAGTGAGGATAGAGACAATCAGGACGGGAAAGGGAGCTTATTGAGTGCTCTAAGCCGCAGGTGTGTGTGTGCTCTAAGCCGCAGGTGTGTGTGTGCTCTAAGCCACAGGTGTTGGCGCTTACTGCGTGCTGAAAGCGACAGGTGTTTGTTAAGGGGGCTTTACATATCGTAGTATTATCTCTGCTAAAACTATTGTCATCTAACGACGATATGATGTACTTCACAGCTGCTTGTCCGGGGCTATAACAATGCTGATATCAACATGTAACTGACAAAAGGACGCGTGATTGACTGACATCGCTACTCGTCAAGGGCATCATTGCTTCGTGGACCTCACGTCGACACACGTAAATCACAACCTCAAACGTAAATCACAACCTCAAACGTAAATCACAACCTCAAACGTAAATCACAACCTCAAATGAAAACCCTTCAACGCACGTCCTAACTAACCCCGTCTCCTGTTGTGTGAAGGACTCAAACATTCCCTTACAAGGTTTCTGGCATTACAGGATCACTTACAAACAACCCTCAAGCGACAGAAGGAAAGTTGAACTTACTGTTAATAGCTGAATGGTTCCAAGTCTGCGGCACGAGCCTTCTGGGGGAGGGACGATCCAAGAGGTGGTTCCAGATGCGGGACTTGTCGTAGGAGCAGCTGGAGACTTCGTTCGAGGGATCAGCCATCAGGGAACTCTTGAAGAAAAAGAAGAGGTAAATCCTCCTGCCGGACGGAGAAAAGTCAAACTTAAGTCAGGTAGAGGATCCATCATCCTCTGTTCTACCAACATCAGAAATTATAAGGGATTTTTTTTAAGAGGATTTTAGATGAAGGAGAATGATAGCGGAACGTGCAGGAGTTGCCTAAGAGAGGCAGTGTCTTGGTGTAATCATTAATCCACATTCATCCACGTGGCCAACCACTTGGATTGGTCGGTACAGCGACCTTCATGCAGGTCGACGTTCGATTCCCAGTCGGTAGAAGGCAGCGTTCCTTCCCTCCGTTCACATATCCCAGCTTCTATCCTGTCCTCACATTCCTTCCATGTGCTATATCGTCAGACTGGCTTAGCGCTTACTTCTGATAATTCTTCAACTTCCCATCCACGCATTTATACATCATTTTGTCGGGGACAGGCAGTTTGAATATATATATATATATATATATATATATATATATATATATATATATATATATATATATAACCCAGGCCGTCGAAGACCTCGACGGCCTGGGCTAGAATTTCTGACCGTTTCTAACCCACACGGGATACGAACCCGGGATTCCAGGTTGTGAGACGAAAATGAGAAAAACTGTCTTGCTGGTAATCCCAATCATTATGGATAAAGTGGAGGTGACCACGGGAGAAAATCAGTAATAGCATGAATCCAACTTGGATACAAATATCCATGAAGAATCGGAATGGAAACAACAGTTGAGCAGAGGAGTTGCAGAATCTGCGGTGAGAGTGACGGACACCGCCTTGACCACTATCTACGTGAACGCGAACACCCGAGGGACATTAGAAATAGGGACATTAGAAATATGTGTAGAATAATAAACCCCACATTGTTTGAATTAGGAAAACACTATTTGTCAAATATAGATACTGTTCGTAAAAGATTCCTCCATTTTACACCCGCGTGATAAAGTTAGATTTTAAGGGACGACGAATGTTAATCTTTTTGTTTGAGGAGCTGTTCGCTTGAGACAGTTAAGCAAGTCCCAGCTGTGTCTGGGTACAAGTGACAGGATGAACAACCCAGCGGGTTTTCTTCCTATTGGGGAGTGTTGTACATGCTGCTATGGCGGTGTGTCCACTCACAAGATGAGTGGCGCTGCCCAATAAACTCGCCCCTCGGGGCAAAATAACAAAAAATTTAAGCACCATTCACTTTAACATAACAGTGTACCGACAGCACCATACACTGTACGAACAGTACCATAACACTGTACCAACAGTACCATAACACAGTACCATACACTGTACCAACAGTACCACAACAGTCCCCCCCCCTACACTTCATACCTAGTGCACCACGCAGACAGCTAAAGTCAACAGCACTTTCCCTCCACACACCTGCACATAGAGACCACTGAGGGAGACAAGACAGCCAGCCAGGCAGACAGGCAGACAGGCAGACAGGCAGGCAGACAGGCAGACAGGCAGGCAGGCAGGCAGGATTCTCCAGCAGAGCTAGAGCGAAGCGTTGTACTGTCCTCACCAGTCGACAACGAAGTCTGTGGAGCTGGCTGATCTACAGCACACACACACACACACACACAGGCTGGTGTAGCAACACCTGTGAGCCCTCAGTACCACCCCCCATTCTCCCATTTACGGGTTACAATTGATCGGAGGAGGGGGTTAACCCCCATGCACTGTACCATAGAACAGTGTATGGTGAGGTTGGGAAGGGGAGGTGGGCTATTAAAATAATTGTTTAATATATTATTTTGAATAAATGCTACGTGAGTAGTTGAGAAAGTCATGGTAATAATGAGGGTATGATCAGGGTATGAGGGAATATTGGATCAGGGTATGAGGGAATATTGGATCAGGGTATGAGGGAATATTGTATCTGGGTATAAGGGAATATTGGATCTGGGTATGAGGAAATATTGGATCAGGGTATGAGGGAATATTGTATCTGGGTATGAGGAAATATTGGGTCAGGGAATGAGGGCATAGTGGCTCAGGTTATGAGGGACGCTACATGATAGTAGTAAGCATAGATAGCGCCTGATGAGGGTACATATTGGAGCGACAAGTGCGTATGTGAGGTGTGAGGACGAACATATTATACACCGCCCTGTGAACAAAAAAGGTGTTCGGATTAATAGCCGCCAGACAATACAAAAACATTCGTTGTCACCTATAACATTGCTGAAAATTCAACTTTTCTAATGTTGAAATTTTCAGTGATGCTGAAATACATTAGATGTTAACTATTATATAACAAAAATGACAAAAACTAATGTACTTTAGTACATTATTAAAGACTTTCATATATCTGACCTGCAGTTGAACATATATCAATGGAGATGGTGAAGACTACAAGTTCACTAGAGTGGGTTACCAAGAAGGTAACCCTCTTACCTTCTTGAACTTGAACTTGAAGCTTCAAGTTCAATGTGTTTGAAGTTAAACAGATATATAATTTGAAGCCATTCATGTTCCAGAGACCAAAGTATTGGCCAGGATCCTAAAAGAATGTAAAGATAGCTTTCTTAAACTCTGTTTAGTACATCGTGAGGAATAGGTAAAATACATGAATCGTGGAGGGTTATTGTATGAAACGGATTTTATAATTAGGAGAATAGATCACTTACATCAGTCACCCAGTTAGTTTGATATTTGCTGTGTGAGAATTACTTGAATTAGCAATTGCACATTCCATTCGTTGACAGGAAACAGGTTCACGGATAACTCTAGCCGTATGGGAAGTCACATAAGCCAGTAGGCAATGTATTGTTGTGTTCGTTAGTTCTCATAAGGGAAGATGAGGTGCGTAGTCACCTGTGTCTTGAACACGTGTATTAAAGACTATGTGTAGCGGATATTGAGAGCAGCAAAGATCGTGTGTAGTAGAGATGAACACAGGTGGCGCCCGTGAGTGATGCAATATAATGTATATTATCACTATTATACTACATTATATACTGTGTACTGGCGCGGGTGTTCCCGGGGCTGCTCTAGTGACGAAGGCCACGTCTTCATTACTTTTCCTACCCTTCACCACCTTCCCTACCCTTCACCACCCTATACCTTCCCTTCACCACCTTATACCTTCCCTTCACCACCCTATAACTTCCCTTCACCACCTTCCCTACCCTTCACCACCCTATACCTTCCCTTCACCACCTTCCCTACCCTTCACCACCCTATACCTTCCCTTCACCACCTTCCCTACCCTTCACCACCCTATACCTTCCCTTCACCACCTTCCCTACCCTTCACCACCTTATACCTTCCCTTCACCACCTTATACCTTCCCTTCGCCATCTTTTCTACTCTTAACCACCTTCCTATCCCTTTTTTCAAGTGATCATATTTAGATATACCTATAGCTATACAACAGTCCTAGATCATGTGATGAGTTACAGTGTGTCATGGGCAGGCTACGTGATGCTAAAACATCCCCATCTCACAGGACGGGTAGTTGTACAGGGGCCTGTGATAGTAGCCCACACTAGCAAATTTGGGTGCAGTAAAATCATATACTGGAGACACAGACATTGCAGCCAAATTAGTGTGAAGCAAGGATAAAGTTGAATTAGACTTAGGTATCCACATTGTTGTCAAGCCTACATTGTTCCAAACACTCAGGTTTCGTAAGAGATCCAAACACCTGAAACCAACAGCAATAAAAGCTAAGATTTACAGTTCATTCTTACGGACTTTGCACCTGAAGTGCTCAGAAGCCCAACCTGATCCTGGCAACAACTATGTCGCATAGTTTGGTAGCTGTTCTGTGCAGCCCATATACATAGGTTTCGAATCTAAACAAATCTTAGCTTTTATTGCTGTTGGTTTCAGGTGTTTGGATCTCTTACGAAACCTGAGTGTTTGGAACAATATAGGCTTGACAACAATGTGGATACCTAGGTCTAATTCAACTTTATCCTTGTTTCACACTAATTTGGCTGCAATGTCTGTGTCGTTATGATGGATTATTTGCGTAAGATGGTATCCATGCAAAAGATATTCTAAACCAGTATTCTGTGCAGCGAGCAGATTACCTCTAATCTCTTATCCTTCACAATTTTCCCTACTCTTCACTGCCTTCCCGTCATTACTTTAGCCATCTTTACTAAGCACTGCCTTCCCGTCATTACTTTAGCCATCTTCACTAAGCACTGCCTTCATTAATAAATAAAGTTCGTGAAATAAACTAACATTTAATCATGTAGTAAATAAACACATTTGGTTATTTCCTACATTGAGTATGGTATTTAGCGAGAGTTGAATTATTCAGACTTACCATTTCAAGCAAAGAAGAGGAACATGGGGTTAACCTCGACCCCTCCTATGATCATCCCGGAACACCTTCCAGTCACCATGCAAACTTTTAACAGGCTAGCCCCAAGCATCTGTCGCGAAAAGAATTAAAACGCACAGACATTCCCGTTTATAAATATGGAAGATACATATATACAGAGAATCAGCCTCCAACACAACTTACTCGGTCTTTAACACACAAATGCTCAACCACTTGGAACTGCCGGTAGAGCGACGGCTCGTTTCATGCAAGGTCCGCGTTCGATCCCCGAAGATCCAACAGGTTAGGCACCGTGCCTTCACCCCGTTCTCATATCTCAGTTTCTTGTCCTCATATCCCTTCCAAGCACCCATCTAACTGACCTGTATTATTGCATGCAAGCAGAGGGAACGGAACGGAACTATCAGAACACGCCAAAACATGGGATGGAACTATATAGCACTTGGAAGAGGGGTCAGAACAAGGACATGGGATGGAACTATATAGCACTTGGAAGAGGGGTCAGAATAAGGACAGAAACTATATAGCACTTGGAAGAGGAGTCAGAATAAGGACATGGGATGGAACTATATAGCACTTGGAAGAGGGGTCAGAATAAGGACATGGGATGGAACTATATAGCACTTGGAAGAGGGGTCAGAACAAGGACATGGGATGGAACTATATAGCACTTGGAAGAGGGGTCAGAACAAGGACATGGGATGGAACTATATAGCACTTGGAAGAGGGGTCAGAACAAGGACATGGGATGGAACTATATAGCACTTGGAAGAGGGGTCAGAATAAGGACATGGGATGGAACGGAGGGAAAGGAGTGGCTGTGTCAGAACAAAACGATAGTTGTAAAGGCCTATATAAAAGGTTTTCCACCCTTCACAGTGGAGAGCATGTGGTTCTAGCGGACGAATATGGTATTGTATACAGCAGTCACGCCACTCTTAGTTTATCAATGGAACACCTGCTTCGACTTTATATTAAAACATCTGTTGGATGTTACATCCAACTGAACTATTCAATACTTCTGTGTACATAGAACATAGCCTTGAGGGCTATTCAGAAATTGTGTAATCATCATGATACACAGCATTTGTGTATCCATTCTCATGGGTTATTCCCGGATGGAAACTAGAAACTTTGACGAGCCACAGGAATGAAAGAAAGCCCGTCTTCGGTGTGGGAGTAGTTAGTGAGCAAGTGGAATGAGGTGAACGCCAGGCAGGTGAAACTGACACCAATATAGCTTCAAGGAGAGTATTAAGCATCCGGAGCGTCGTGAAGCCATTGAGATAAGCCAATGAATTACAGGTGGGAGCCACCAGAAGGAAGGAAGGAATTATCAGGAGAAGCGCCATGTCATTATGACTATATAGCACTGGGAAGGGGTCAGGATAAGGATTTGGGACGAGACGGAGGGAAAGGCATGGTACCCGACCATTTTGCACGATCGGGGATTGAACGCCGACCTGTTCTCTTAAGTACACGTATCCCCATTTCATACCAGTCAGGTGAGCAGACAAGAAGGTAGATAGGCTCGTTGCCACACCTAAACACCTTACGGGCTCACCATAGCCCGTGCTACATGGACACTTCGTTCCGAGTAGCTAAATCTGAAACAACAACAAACCTGTACACGCGTATTTTCACACACACACCTGTCGATTCACCTGTGTGTGCATGCGGTAATGGAACAGCTGTAATGCAATAGTCATCTAATTGCACATTGAGCCTCGTGTTCTCTTGAGCTCTACACTACAGCAACACTGACGCCTGTGATTTTGTAGCGCATGTATACTAAGTAATGCGATACAGTATAGTGAATGCGATACAGTATAGTGAATGTATATTGCGCAATGTATTAATGTAGCGCATTATAGAGCATGTATATTATGGAATGTAGTGATGTGAATTTCTATCATACACACATCCTGGTCAGTATACTAGTGGGGTGCTCAGTGGTGTAACACTTTACTGTGTACTGCGCGCACTTTGAGCAGTATATTTGTGGGACACTGTCTAATGTGTGACTCCAGATCAGTGTAGTCCTGCGGGATAACGCTGCCTCTCAAACACACACACACACACACACACACACACACACACACACACACACCACGTGGAGGCTGACTCAACAAGTTGTAATTCACCAGCTATTCTGCTGGGAATTGTTCTTAAATACATTAGTCTTTGGACTTTACCATCATAAAAACATCTT